TGTGCCTGGAAGGGGTCAGATGAATTGCTGTGCAGTGGGCAGAGCACAGGAGAATGCTTTTGGTGATCTGTGGGGAGCCCACCAGGTCTTCAGCCCTACGTACTTCTGGGAATTTGCAGCCTCCTGATTTTTGATCCATTTGTCCCTGTTGTTAGCAGCCAAATTGCCTGGAGTATCGTGAGGAGCAGTGTGGGTAGGTGGGACTGTGCCTCCTCCTGATGCAGCTCTTGGGTGACCTCAGGCCTGAGAAGAAGTGCTATCCAAGTACACTGAAACCACCAGTCATGGTCAACCCTTAATGAGAGCTGTACTAGATTCAGCTCCATTAGAAACCCACTCTGGGCAAAGCACCTCCAGTGTTGCAGCAGACTCATGCTGGGCTTGGTGCCCCCGCAGCCACAGCTGCCAGCAGGTCCAGCACAGCACGTTTGCAGGATGCATCCTCCTCTGTTAAAAAAAGATTAAAGGCAGGAGAAGGAGACTAATTTTGATCAATTGCCAAAATTGTAAAATGTGGAGTTAGAGGAAGAACCCTGAGTAAATGAACCCATGAGTCCATGCTGGAGCTGGGGATTAAGCCCAGGTCTGCAAAATTGCAGCCAATTACTGCAAGCATGAGGACACTTGCATCTGCTGACTCCCTGCTCTGGGTACTCCTGAAGCAGTGAAGCTACTTGCAAAGCGTGAGTGGCAAAATTTGGAGCAGTCAGCAATGCTTTTCTGGGCAATGCAATTCAGGCGAGCCTGTGAGTAAGGAAGGGATGGGATGGCAGGATGGACAAGCTTTCCATTCCAGAACATCTGGATTTATTTCTGTTCAGTTGCTGCAAGGTAGAATCCTTTCTCTTCGTTTTATTCTTCCATGCTGTGACACTTTTAAAACCCATGGCCCATTTGAGTTTTGATTTTTTGTTCAATACCTTTTAAAGTGATCTCATGCAGACAGGTGATGGGCAGTTAGGGATACTGGTCTTTAGTGGAAATAGTCTGTTTTGTGGATGTCAAACACTTTGGCTTGCCTGGGTGACGTTGAATGAGGACAAATTGGGCTACGTATATGTAGGCTATTCCAAAAGTAATGCCTCCTATTTATTTCCATGGAAGCCACAACAGCTACAAAGAGCATAATAGCGCTCTTTGATCGAGCAAATGCTCTTTTGCAACACAATCACCACCATTAGCTCTGTACTTTTATCAGTGATGGATAAGAGCCTACTCTATTTAATAGAATACTGGAGGAGAGGCTGTGGATGCCCCATCCCTTGAAGCACTCCAGGCCAGGCTGGATGGGACTGTGAGCAACCTGGGCTAGAGGGAGGTGTCCCTGTCTGTAGCAGGGCTTTGAAGCTGGATGATTTAAAGATCCCTTCCAGTCTAAACTATTCTATGGTTCTAAGACAGATTAGCTACTCGGTATGTTAAATATATTTATATCTCCTAACCTCAGATGCTATAGCAGTAGAACTTTACAGGTCTATGAATTGTGGACAGTCAGAGCTACCTGAAGTTTTGAAATCACTTTACAAAGGTAGCAAGCTCTCCTGGTTTTGAAATCAGAAATAGTTGTTGATGCAGTTTGGAGCACTTAATGGAGATCTATGTAAATTGCCAGGGGAGGGGGAGGAGAACAGTTTGATCTTAAAACATAATTTGGACTGTTCTCATGTTTTCTTGTAAAGGCTGTTTTGATCATTAGTTGCCACCTCCCAGTTCTCAGCCATCTCAAGTCTCAAAAAGTTCTGATACTTTTAAAGATAAGGATCAAATTTTATGTATTTTTTGTCTCTTAGTTCTCATGCCTTTGACATGCAGGTTTGCAAACTTTTCCCCCTATCAAAGGGCTTTAACATCTTTCCTTTTTTTTTTTTTTTTAATTTTTAAATGAAAATTGTCATTCTTATTTGATAATGTGACTCTGGGAGCCAAGACTTTAAGAAAAATGCCAAATCCCACAATACATATGGGAATTTGCACCCTTATTATTAATAATGGGCCGTTCTCTCTCTTCTCTTTAAGTCTTCCTGAGATTTTGGTGTTTCATCTAAATCCACCCAGATACTCCTGAACTTTGAAGGTGGGGAGACGGTGGAGAAGTACTTCCTTGGGAGAAGTGATTACAAAACATGTTTCCATTCTGAACCTCTTTAAGCATGAAATGTTTTCAGGTCTAAGGTTTTGCAGCCTGCAGTCTGGTTTTTCCCCCACCCCTTTTTGCTTGGCTGGTAGGATTAAGAATTTGATTTAACGTTATATGCCTAGAAAAATAAAGCATTTAATTTACATTTTACAAGGCAGTTATTGCAGGTTAATTAAATATCAATTGAGTGTTATAGGCCATATTAAGATTTATTAATAACCTAGGAGATAAATCTCCTTGGAATTCAATTAAATGAAAATCACATAAAAATATATGTGCAATTTTATTCGTATAATACATAAAACTTGTGAATTACAGTGAAGCATTGTATGGTAACTTAATTAATGGGAATTAATTGGTGAAATGGAGAAAAATCAATTTGAAGTTTCCATAGCAGATCTAAGAAGCAAGGTGTGCTCCCATATCCTCGGAAAGCTGAGTTTGTCTGCACCCACGCTGTCACACTGTGCTGTAAGGTGCACCTTGGACACAGAATCATAGAATGCTTTGGGTTGGAGGGGACTTTGAAGATCATTCAGCTCCAACTGCATGTCATGGCCATGGTCTCTATGCGAGGGGAGGTGTGCATGATTGTGCCGATGGACCTCGGAGCCTTCTGCCCTCGATGCTTTTTCAGATCTCTCTAAGCATTTGTGAGATAGTCAGCAATGGAAAGGCTGCCAGCCAAGTGGTCTGCGAGCTCTGAAGGACATGGATGTGCTGGGCTTTCTGCAGGGTCAGTGAGCATATCTGGTCCTGTCTGGGTCACAGCAGCTTCCCATATCGGAGATGAGGCTCAGAAGCTGGACTTGGAAAATATCTTTCCAATGTTTGCTGAACGATTGAGGCCTGGCGTGCTGCCATCTGTTCCCTGTGCATCCTGTGTTAAATACTGTCAATATGAGATTATGTTCCAATTATGGTACCAGACTGACTGGTTTAACTCCCACCATGAATCTATTTTCCTTTATTACTATGCACTAACTATGTGACTGATGTACCAGACACCAAAAGAGATGGTCTCTGCCCAGAGGGCTTTGTCTAAAGGAAACATGCCTGGAGAAGACAGAATGCAATAGAAAATGCAGATGAATGAGTAATTCGCTTAAGATTTTCTTTTTAATTTGGGGATTCTTTGCCTGTTTGTGTGTTTGGCTGGAGTTTTAATATTACTAAATTTGCTTCTTTCAGACGTTGCACAAGAACAGAGACTTCCATAGAAACTCAAGCAGGGATAGGCATGAGGCTCTTTGAACTGTGTGTGTGTTGAGAGGGGATGAGTGCTCAGCGCACACATGGGAGCACTATAGGGTGGAAAATGAAGGGAAAGCCACTTTCCAGCCCAAACAGTTCCTCCAGCAGACACCATGGATCGCACTGGGGAAGTACAGCTAGCTATAAAAATAGCAGGTGTCTTTGTCAGTGCTCATCCTTCCTCTTCTCCTGTAGGGACACTTGCATCTGTCTCCTCTGTGCTTCGTCTCTGCTTCTCTCTGCAATAGTTGTTAAGGATATTAGCATTAAATACTTACTGCCTGGCTTAACTAAGGGGTAAGATAGGATTTAATTTGTATGGCTGAAATCCAATTATATAATGGAGCCCCTGGGGGAAGCAGTTATACCTGCTGAATCTCTTGGATGAGTAATTGTGCACAAAGGCTCCTCTCCAGAAGCAGAAACAGATCTGAAATATTCCCCCCCACTCCTTTTTTTTTTTTTTTTTCCTGTTACATAATAGGGCTGGGACCCTACAAAGAAAAGCCAATGACAACCCAGAGCAGTAGAAAGAATGAAAGCGCTGCCAGGAGAAAACAAGTTACAATCTGATAAAATCAAGGATCAAGCAGGAAGTCTGCAGCAGCACAACCCGGGGGGAGCCAAGTTGCAGCGCAGCCAAAGGAAGCTTACTCATCTTTTTGGAAAGCAGTACAGAGGCTTTGCTGTCTAACTTTTTCCCCCCAACTTCTGCTAAATGTGCAGGGAAAGGGAATCCTCCACTTGCTTTTGTCAAAGCTTGGGAGGTGGGGTAGGTATGGAAAGAGTTAAGGCAGTGAATGATTCAGGTCCTTTTGAAAAATGCCTGCTCCTTATCCTTCATGTCATCTGTGTCCTGATAAACATCAAAACCCTGGGTGATGATGGGCAGGACAGGAAGAGGAGATTCCCAGTAAGGTTTCTGAAAGGAGGCAAGCACGTAAGGTTGGTTGCTGGAGTAGGATTGGGGTTTGACAGTTACACCTCTTGGTACCGTCAGCAGCTCTATAGCCCACAAAGGAATGTGCCAGAGGCTCTAGGTGGGACTGCAAGCATCAGCTCTTGTACTTAGTTCTCTCAAAGGTCAGAGTGCCATATTTCAATATATTTTGCTAAGTTAAAAGCAAACTTTGATTCTTTTCTGAGAAGTTATGAGTGGAAAAAATAATTTCCTTGGTCACTTTGATGGCACAACTACATGAGGATAAAGATGAGTGTGTCCATGCAGCCGAGGGATGAGCTCCAAGTACTGCAGACTGAGAACAGACCCAGACCCCCGGACCATCGGCATTGCTGTCTGGGCAGGTCTTGGAGCTCTTGTCAGAAACTGTTCCAGTAAATACTGCTCCAGTAAATACTGCTGCTATGCTGGAACTCACGTTACCTGTCTGACAGACTTGCAGCTCCACCCAGTGGCTCTTTTTTGGCAAGATAAAACCAAGGTTTCAAAAGCATTAAAACCTGTTGAGGTCAAAGTAGTCTGTGGTGAAGCTCTGGCAGCGTGCGTACGAAATAGGGTATATATTACTCTGTCACAGTCTCAGAAAGCCATCATTTAGCATTTAACTTATAGCAGAAAGCTGCAAAGACAATTATTAATGAAACCAAGTCCAGTAATCTTACTAATCACTTTATTTAAAAACTCTCTGCACAAATGATTAGAGTAAAAAAGTGAGGAACTGAGAGCTGTGGGCATCCCTGTGCATCGCAGGGCGTGGGACCAGGTGGCACTGAAGGGTCCCTCAACTCCAAGCGTTCTGTGATTCCATAACTTGCACGGTTCACCTTCCCAAATTCTCTGTGGACAGATTGTAATGGTTTGCCCCAGATTTATTTGTCATATGAAATTATTCACGAATTACCTGAGCAAATTATTTTTGGTTTGGAAGCTCATTTTGCAAAGAACTCTCCTGTGAGTGAATTTCCATGGAGTTCACTTGGCAGCTCCCAGAGTATTCCTTCACTTCCTTTCCAGGGTAATTACTATGACTAACAAGAAGCAAATCTCGATCATTTCTATCAAAGATGCCATGCTGAAACTTGCTTCTATTTTTTTTTTTTTCCAGGAGGATTAGGGAAGTAATTAAAATGAGCTTTTATTTGTGCACACATACACTTCAACTGTAGGAAAACTCAAGAGATGATTATATGTTCACAGAACACAGGAGTACTTAAGCAGTCTCAAACTGACAGAATTAATTTTGGATGTTAACCACTGCAGTAAAAACAGCCCATTTCTTCGAACTCCAGTGAAAACTGCCTGAACTTGTAGGCATCCAACCATGGGGCTTGAATGCAAGTCAGCCCCTGTGCTGTCAGTGCAAGAGAGTAGGAGTTTATTTTTATAGGATAATATTTCAAAACAGATGTAATAAGCCACGTATGAAGGGTAACAGGATCTTTAGGAAGGGTTCTTTCCATCACTGAGAGGACAGGTTCCCCATGGCCACTTCCAGCCACCGCGCCGTCCGCACCTTGCTCTCCTGCCAGCTGTAGAGGGGCTTGTACCCAAAGTGCCTGAAGGCTTTGTCTGTCTCGTAGGAGAAGGTGGTGACTATCGTGTGCAGCAAAGGGAGGTTTAGGAAAGGCTGTGGCTTCCAGAAAGGGGACAGGATGACCTCGATTATCCTGTGCAGGTGTATCAGTAACCACATCTTCCAGTATGGGATGTGTGAGCCCAATCTTATTGAGGGGTCCATACAGGACAAGAGCTGATACCTGATCAGAAAAGCTTTTGTTGTCGGAGTGTCATCATAGGAATAATACACCTGCCCAGCAAGTATGTCTGGTTTCAGCTGCAGGTGCCTGGCTGCGAGAACATGCATCCATGCGACATTCCCTGGAGAAATAAGAGGAGGAGAGAAACAGGTGCTCAGGAGGAGCAATGTTTGCCTATTTACTATGGGAGTGAGAGCATGGGATCCCAACTGCAGTGCTACGACGTAGGGATGGCGCTCATCGTGTGTTCAGCTGTACTGAGGAGGGGTGGAGTAGTTAATTCAGGCCTCAAAGGTCCTTTCAACCCTTGGTTTCCCCTTTGAGCAGGACATTTAACATTCCTTGTGACACGGGTTCACTTGACGCGAAAGGGCACTGTTTTGTAGTGTGATCAGGATGAATGGGAGGCAGAGCTTGGGAGTTTTATTCCTGGCTCTGCTGAGAAGCCTTTGAAGAAGTCATTTGATTTATCCAGGCCTGATTCCACTGCAACAGCAATTTCAAAGCACTGTTATCTGCACTTTTGGAAAAGGACATGTGAGCTTCACAGAAATAACTAAAGCTCCACATGATTGAGTGGTGAATTGTACTCTTCCTGTAATGCACTCAATGCAACAACAAACTACTTCAGATGTGATACCTCAGATGGTCAGTGGGCAATATTGGTGGTAGGTGGATAGTTGAGTTGGATGATCTTAGAAGTCTTTTCCAATCTCAAGAATTCTGTGATTTTGAGAGGCTTTGGGAGCAGCCTGTCGTGCTCACAAAACTCAGTTATGAAGTACAATCTTTTCTGCAATGAATGCCTTTACTAATTTTATAAGTAGCTGGCTTAATTTCTTGTAAGTAAACCAGTCTTTTCAAACAAGCAAAAAATATTTTAAAGATGTTCCCTCAATTTCTCTGATTTCCTCCATAGCTTTCTAGAAACACTGCCTTAGAAAAAGAAACAAACAGGACTCTTGTACTCTTTTCTGCTATTTTTCAGTTTTCGAAACATTTTTCCTTATGTTGAGGAGAATTTAAAAAAAGAAAACCCTTTGCTAGTGATTTTCAAGGAAAGGATGAACGTTGCACTGTGAGTGCCATGGTCTGGAGTGGTCACAGCCATTGGGTTGATGATTGGACTGGATGGTCTTGGTGGCCTTTGCGACCTTAATGGTTCTATGTAAACAATAAAATGTAAACAAGTGTTTTATAAATTCTTTTAGCCAGACTGAGTTTTGTGCTTGTAGAATTGTTTCCACTCAGTCACTATACTCATTTTTCTGTGTTCAAGGATTACGAGTGAGCCAACGTGCAAAATCTCCTGTGGTAGCACTGCATGCAAAGAGATCCATCACTCACTCACCCACGTACGTGGAATTGCGCTCTGTGTGTTCAGGCTCCAGGTAGTTCAACACACCGTTATGGGCTTTGGCAGACAAATACAAGTCATGAAGGAACATTGCTTTCTCCCCATATACTGTGTTGGCGCGGATGATGCAGGTCGTGAGTTTACCACCATTGCTGAGCTGAAAAATCAGAGAGGAGTAATGGCAAGTGATGGATTTGTAGGTAGCATCTTCCACAGTGATCTTTGGTGCGGAAGATGGAACCAGAATACTTGGGGAAATTGGAGGAAATCAAACTTTTGATTCTTAACTCACGCCAGGCGTGTCTGAAAATGCATCTTTTGTGCACCAGGTGAGCCTGGTTTTGCAAACCATAATTTAATACAGTGATTTCCAAAGCTTTGTTCCTTTGGTGGAGTTTGAGAATAGGTACAGAGGGTAGAGCAACTTGATCCTGCAAATACATGGCGGCTCTGTGATGCTGTGGGAGTATTGGCTCTTGGTGAGCTTGGGGCAATGTGGTGAATACATATCAGAGAAGCCATTGGAGAAATAGTTAGGTACAAACTCTGGGGTCGTGGTGGTAGATGGACAGTTGGACTGGAAGATCTTAGAGGTCTTTTGCAATCTTAATGATTCTATGATTCTATTCCATGATTCTTTCTAACCAGCTTTCTCCTTCTGCTCATCCTGTGCTGAAACCCCATGGATACCACCATTGACTTTTTTTTTTTTTTTTTTTTTTTTACCTTTTTCCCATTGGCTTCTAATACAAGTCTTTCTGCCATGGCCTTCGTCTTCCCATAAGGCAGCTCCACTTCCCCGCTGTATTTGGTGTCCTCATTTCCTCTGAAATAGATTGAGATGTGAGTGACCCTGGAGTCCAGAGCTGGGAGACATTTATCTCTGTGTGATTTACTTTAACCCCTGCTTTGCAGTGTATAAGTTTTGACGGTGCGTCATGCAGGGCTTAAGAAAGATCCTTACTGCAGCTCAGGAGAAATAAAGCCTCAAATACCAGGTGATTCTGTGGTGTTAGGCAAAAACAGATTTGCATGAGAGCAATGGTTTCATCTCTGAGAGGTGAATTTGCATTCGTGTGATTGAAGCAAACAATATTCTGGCAGGGAAATTAGAAGGCAGCGCCGTTACCCTTCTAAGAACTCTCAAGTGGCTGAACAAGGTGGAAAGAGCACAAGATGATGGAGGGCAGGAAAACAAGAGCAGTCCTGTTTTGTTTTTTTCATTAGAGGTAGTGAGAAGCCTCTTGTGAGCTTTAAACTAAAAGAATCTGCACCTTAATTTTCTCATATTGTTGATTAGAGTTGGGAGATGTTTGCTGGTGATGAGAAAGAGTTCCTGGAAGATGTACAATCACCAGATTTGTGCTGAGGTTTTCTTTACCTGTCCCAGCAGGCTATGTTTGAGGGAACGAGCAGAAAACCAGGTCCCTGAATTGGGTCAACAGGGCTTGGAGCTGTGCTTGGAACCACTGGTTGCCACAGTGGAGGAAGACAACATGCTCCTCAACTGGATGTGACTCCTAAGTCAATGGGGCTCAACACATAACTGCCCTCTCAGGTCCTGAAATAATTCCAAGAGAACCAAGAAAGCAGCATTCCCCACAAAGGCATGGGTGTTCCTGTCCCACTGATTCTAGCTCAGTATTCCAGGATTTGGTTAGGAAGATTAGGGGGCTGTGGATTTGTCAGAGAGCAAAGAAGCCTTGCTTGGAACATTGGAGGGACCATAAATGCAGACCACGTGTCCGTTTGCTCCCTGTCGCATGAGAAGGCTCTCTCCCCATTCAGTGTGCTGCAGGAGATCTCAAAGACTTCCTTCACGTTTTCACATCTATTTGCTGACTATTTCGCTGTCCTACAGAAATTCACCCTAGGCAAACACTGAACTGTGCCAGGTGTAGAGCACCCAAAGCAGTGTGATGCAGACAGGGTTCAGCTGTGCTTTAAGGACAGGCTAAGTGGCCTTTGATAAGGTCAGGCAGCAATTCTGCAGCAGAGGTCTTTTTGTTAAGCTCTGGGCCACAGGAGAGCGAGCTCTGACTCAGGCTCCTGCTTTGACCTTGGACAACTCCCTTTCTGCGCTCACATCACCGCATGTAAAACATGGATAGTGCTATTGCCTTTCTTCAGTCAGTAGCTTGTGCATCAGATATCCCAGCTGAGAGCAACAGAAATAAATGAGGAGCCTCAAAAACTCAGCATCCCCAAGCACACAGGCTTGTAGCACAAACCCTCCTCCCCTCCCCGTGTTTACGGGTGATGAACAGGAGACAAACCAGCCAACAAGCACAGCAAAAGATTGATTGTGCACAGTTTGCTGAGAGCCCAAGAGAGGCCCAAGACAATTAGGGGGGTTATCTAGAAGTTCTTGTTTTAATTGCATTCTTTTTTTCTATCTGAATTTCTTTTTTTGCCTTGTGAAGCTTCACAAAGGGGCAGCCTGCCTGCCGTTTTAGCTGCAGAGCTCTGCTCCTGTTTGCCTTCCCCCACCCCTTTTGAAGCTTGGTCGTAACAAAGAGCTCAGCATAATGCTCTTGCTTTTCAAAACGATCACAGATAACTGAACGCTAATAAGACTGGAGCAGCATTGTCAGAAGGTATCTCAGTGGCGGCTGTCTCAGAGGGATTGAGACTGACAGAGGCATTTTCTATTATTGTAGGATGCTGAGGTGTGAGCATTATCCCTGCACCCATCACCCTGTCCAGAGACTAATCATGCTTTGTCTGTGTCAGTTCCCCAGCACCTAAAAGTGAATTAAATGAAATTATACAAGGAGTGATAGAGAAAGGGGACAGAGCAGAAAAGTAAGGCAAGTTTGATCACTGGCTGCAAACAAGAGCAGAACAAATTGGGTGGGGATAGGGAAACTACATCACCTTTGCTTTCAGCCTTAGAATCATAAGGTCATTAAGGTTGGACAGACCTCTATCATCAAGTCCAACCATCAGCTCACCCCCACCATGCTCACTGAACCATGTCCCTGCATAGACTCGCAGAATCATTAAGACTGGAGAAGATCCCCGAGGTCCCCAAATCCAACCCCAGCCCACCCCACCATGCCCACTGACCACATCCCTCAGTGCCACATCTCCACGGTTGTGGAACACCTCCATGAATGATCACCCCCCTGCTTCCCTGGGCAGCTGTGCCAAGCAGAGCCATGTTACGTTGCCTTCCAGTACGCTCTAGGCTCCCTAGTAAGACAAGCTGTGTAATTATTTTACTCTTCTCTCACTTTAATTCCAGGAATTAAAAGTGGAAATCTATGGAGAAGAACCACTCTGACAAACAGGCTTTCTTCTCACAACGTGATGGCAGAACGTGAGTATGTTTTTGAAAAGCAACTTGCAGGCTCTAGTTGGTGGTTTTATTAGCATTTGTGGTAGGAAGGGGTTGTGAGTTGGTGGGGAGAGGATGCTCATATGTGCATACGTTCTGTGAGCAGCAGGATGGGCTTTTGCTTGGGCCCACAAGGGCATGACTCTAAGGCAAGGAACTGTCTTCTCAGGCAACATTTGGGATATCTACCACAGATCTTTATCAAAATACCTATTTACGTGTCTCTCAAGTTACAGGACTATAATGCTAAGAAAGACGTACACATACATCTGTTTTTAGAAGTGATTTAGATATGTTAATAACCAAATTTCATAGCCTTTCACTGATACTAGAGCTTCTAGTGCTCATGCTCCCAAGTGGGTTGAGGTTTTTTGTTCTCAGGGACTTTTTCATATGAGACATTTATTTCTATAGACTTGGGTATTTAAATGCTCTTCAGAACAACTGTGCTTAGCTTACTTGTGAGTATGAAATTTAGGCTTGTTGGTCATTTTAAGTTATGCCTTAAGCAGCCTTTTCTAGCCAGGCTTCAATTGCTGGAGCCCAGCGACTGAAGCCAGCTGTGTCTAGACTGACTGCCTGTAGAGAAACAACTTGATTTTGAGCCAGATTCCTCTGCACACAAGCTTGCATGGTTTGAGCAGCCTGTGCAAATTAACAAGAAGCCTTACAGTTTTGTGTGTCAGACTGCACCCATCTCCACCCAACGTCAAATTTAACCAGAACTTCAGTTCTTGGTCTTCAGAAAGAGGAGTTCAAGGGGCAGTTCCTGTGTCCCATGAATACCAAAGGTATCCAGGTCCTGAACAGCAATGTCAGCTGATTGTGAGAGTCCATTCTGGAAATCAAAGATAGGAAAAGGCAACGCCAACTTGTAATTTCAGCCTTTGTCTTTCATTGTTCCAAATGCCATCTTTGCCCTGGAGGGCTTCCAAAGCTCTACTTTGCTCTCTTTTGATACTAAGAGCTTGTCACAGGTTTGCTAGCAATTCGCTATGGAGTTAACGAGGCAGGGAAAGTTGGTCTGTGATGGAGCATCACCTACCCATTGAGCCAACTTAGTGTGAAGCAGAGAAAAAAACTTTTACCCAACAGCAAGATAAAATTTGGCCTTGTCAAACCCTGAGTAGCTGAGATCCAATGCCAAACTGATTTTAGCGATTAGAAGAACAGGTCCATACACATGGAAGGTAGCCTGGAGGTGCTGTTAAGTCCTACATCTCACAACCAACGCTTTCAGTGAGGTGTATCCAATACTGTTCAAGTTTATGTTGAAAGGAGGTGTGCTTTTCATGAAGGAGTGAAGGAATCAACAGAATTGGGAGCACACTTGTTCTGCTTTGGATTCATAGCAAAAATCTGTAGGGATGAAAACAATGTGTTGGGCCTTACCTGAGCATGGGCTCGTGCGAAATGTTGGGTCCCACTGCAGCAATGGAGCTTGTGTAGACAACATATGGGATGTTCAGGGCACAGCAGGCCCTTAACACATTTTCAGTACCTGTGAGGCAGGTCGGGAAGGAGAAATATTAACTACATTGGTTTCTACTGCACAGGTCACATGAGATTTACAGGTTTTAAATAGATCCATCCTTTGCATAGCCGTAGGTTAAAGCTGTTGTCCCTTGGGTACAATTGCACAGGTATGGATGGTTTATAACACTAGAGCAGCAGCTACAATTTTAGTTGTAATGTGATGATCTCTATGGTTATTAACAACTGCATGGGCAACATGGTGAACTGCAGTCTTCTGACAAAAGAATTGGTGTTTTAGTTGCATATATTGCTTGGTAGAAGTGATTGGTGACTGAAGGGTGAAAACCATTGCAACAGACTCCTGGTAAAATTATCAAAGAAATCCTGAATTTAGGATCATTTCAGAGATCGTAAGTCAGTATGAAGACCAGGGGAAAATAATTTAATTCTCCATTATCCTACCACTGTATAAAGTTACTGACAACCTCAGTTGATAAACATAATTGGAAACAGATGAATTAACATCATTCAGCTTAACAAAAAGCAGATTTAAAAGACTAAGTGACTAAATGGGCTCCTCAATCTAGTCAAGGATTCAGAAACTAGAGGTTGAAACAAAGGAGGGTATCAAAGCAGAACAAAGATGTAAATTCTTGCCAGCTATAGTAATTAACTATAGCCACACTAATATTCTTAAGCACCATTACGATTTGCTAAAAGACTTGATAGATTGCCCATTTACTTGCAGTTCCTAATCCTAGGCAAAAAATCTTTTGGCTGTTCAAGTTATCCACAAATTGTTGTGCTTAAGGCAGTCATTGGGTGAATTGCTGTGACCTGAGTTATACAGGAGCCAGCTAGGATGTTATACCTGTCCTGACTCTTTTTTCTTCCATGAATTCTACAGTAGATGTGAAATACAGTTCAGCATTCTTCTGTCCGCAATGACGGATGGAAAACTGTATCTTTCAGCTCTAGATTTTGAGCAGTCCTGGTGAAGGCAGCAGCCCAATGTAGGCAGGTCTGCTTGAAGCCATCCAAGGGAAGGCAGCAAGCTGGCAGTGAAGAGGAAGATCTCACAAAGCCTCTAAAGGGCAGTGGGAGCCCTCTGTCTCTGAGTATCCTTGGTGTGCTCACACCATACAGGCTCTTAAAAGCATCTGGTTTTGGAAATAACTACAGCAATGTAGTTTAATGTTGCCCTTGAATGAATCAGCAAGTAATAGGAGCCCAAAGCAGTTACCAAGTTGGTGTGTATATACGTGTACAAAATTCTTTCCTTCTGGTTCACAGCTGTTTTAGTAGGTAACAGCCAGAGATACCAGTGGAGTTGCTGCTGTAATTGGGATTTCATTGTTCTTATAGGCTGTGCTTATTTCTGAGATCGATGAACAAGTTTTCTTTAATCAGATCTTGCACCTAGCATGAAATCAGCTCTTGGTGATAGGAAGAAAACGCTGTGGAGCTCTTGGCTAGTTGTGGCATGTAGTAACACAATAGTTAGAAATAGCATCACTTCAACTCAACTTTAATTGATGTCTTTCTCACATGCCAGACAGCTTCCTACCACTCTAGCTATGTTCTGAATCAGTACTATTAATGAAAGTTATGTCCTTGATCAGAATAACTTATCCAATGTCTGGGTCCAGATTTAACTTTGCAAATTTAGAGGACACAGAAGCGTTAAACCAGAGGAGATACATATTTTGTAGTCTCTTGCATGACTTCACACCAAGGCGTTTGTATTTAAGGCTGGATATGAGGAAAAACTTCTCAGAAAGGGTGATGATGCAGTGGCACAGCTGCCCAGGGAGGTGGTTGGGTCACCGTTCCTGGAGGCAATCCAGAGCACTGGAGATGTGGCACTGAGGGACATGGCAGTGGGAAATACGGGTGGTGGGTGGATGGTTGGACTACATGATCTTAGAGGTACATGATCTTTCTCAACCTTAATGATTCTACGATTCTAAGGATGTATTTTGCTTAATTGCTTGTTTTAAAGAACTTACCCCCAACATTGACAGCTTTCATTTCCCAAAAGGGTAAAGTGTTTCTGCAGTCCACAATAGCAGCTGTGTGGATCACCACGTGAACACCCTGCATGGCAGCAAGGAGCAGACTGTAGTCTCGAATGTCTCCTTTCATCACTGTCACATGAGTGGTAGCTGGAGAAGAATAATATAAGCATAGATGCAGGGGAAAAAATACAAAACAGCATCTTCACATTCCTGCAGAATGAGGATCCTGCCTGGAAAGCTTTCTTCTCAGCAGGGCAAGAAGCAGCTTGCCAACTATACTATTGGAATACATTGCCCTGGGGGGAAATACATCCCCATTTCATGAACCCCAAGAAACCAGATACACATCTGGTTTAATTCAGTGCAGCACTTTGCCAGTTTACACCAGCTGTGGGTCAGAATAACAGCAGCTGTCACTGAGATCTCACATGGAGTTGAGGATAGCACTGAGCTACATGGGGAGGCAGCTGGGGCTGGCTGAGGACTTGCTCTGGGACACATGAAGAAGATATCTACAGCGTGGTGGGAATAACATGAAGCAAGCTTGAAGGATATTGCCCAGAACTCTCTTTAAATTGCAAATACTATAGATGGGGGAGGGAAAATAATACAATATATTAGTTAAAACTTTTTAGGAAATTCCTTCCTTTGAGCCACTGAGAAGTCTGGCTAATTTTCCTCCTTCCTCTTATTTTGTGTCTCAGAATAGCTGTTCTAAACATGGCTGTTATTGGCATCTACCACTAATTGTCATGTCTTTACATGAGCCTCCTGTGCTGAAGTGTTATATGGCTTCATTCTGATCACCTGTCTTAAGGCAGCTGGGTGCAATTAAGACCAGCAAGAGAGCGGTCAGGGATAAGCAGAGAGGTGTCAAGCACCAAGAGAAATCTGCAGATTGTTAAGGCCTGATGAGTGTTATCCAGGGCTGCTAATTGGGTACCTGATGTAACTGCAGGATTACTGCTTTATCACATACTCCAGAGAACTTTTGGTGGAGGCAGTGGAACACTGAAGTAGTGCAACTGAAACGCCTGTGTTTAGAAGGGAGGTAAAATAAGAGCCAGGAAAATTTGGAGAAGCTTAATGTCAACACCAGGAATTTCAGGAATGTGTGCTTGAAGAATATGTGTGTAAGTACCCACAGGATAACCAGGAGAATAGTAGCAACTGACGTGGATTTGTCAAGAATAGGTCATGTCAGATAAATCTCTTTTGTTCTTAGGACACTTGGATGTAGGAGAGCAGGTCACTGTCATCTGTCTTGATTTTAGAAGGGGTCTGGAGACTCCATGTCATTCCCATAAGTAAATCGGTCAAACAGGTCCCAATAAGCCACATCAGGGTGAGCATGAAGCTGAATTACTGCTCTGAGGGAACTGCCAGCTGTGGTAGGTAGCTACCTTAAGGTGGTCTTATTGTTTTCATCAAGAATGTGGCATATTTGTTAAATCAGCAGATAACGTTAAATGGGAGGGTTTCAAAGTATGCTGGATGATTAGAGTATGAGCTGATAGAGATAGGGACAAAGAGAAGATAATGGGTGTGGTAGGGAAGAGGTAACAGGCCCAACCTACCTCATAAAATAATTGGGCCAGATCACTTGTTGGCAGGAACTTGCAGCTAGGAAAAAGGCTTAATGGGATTGACAGGCAAGAAAAGGGATTATGGTGCAGGACGGAAGAAACAAATGGTGAGATATTGGCATAGGCTGCCCAGGCTGGTGGTGGAGTTGCTGTCCTGGAGGTTTTCATAAGAGTGGACGCGGCACTGAGGGTCGTGGTTAGCGATGTAGTGGTGATGGGTTGATGGTTGGACTAGATGTTCTTTCCAACCTTAATGATGTTATAATTCTATGACATTCTTGTGCTTTACTCAGCACTGGGAAGGCCACAGCTGGCCTCTGTCCTGCCCTCAGTGACGCTTTTCCAGAAGAGAGCAATGCAAGTGGGATGCAGAATTGTCAGCTATGGAAAAGAAAGAAGCACCACAGTCCTCCCTAACCTAAAGGAGAGAGCAGTAGAGAGGTAGGCTGTCAAATCGTGAAGATTGTTTTTAAAAAATATTGAGCCATTTTTACTTTCTCATTGGAAGCAAGCTGAGGGGTTGGACAGTCAGAGAGAGAGAGCCTCAGCCCACCGCTAACCCTGCAAAGCCATGTGAGTTGGTTGGCTTGTTTGGGGTGGGTATTCTCAAATCCAGTAAAACGAGTTGCTTCTCCCCTACGTATCTCACTGTAATCAGTTCTGGTGAAACATCAGAAGGCAACATTCAGAATTGTGATCAAATTGAATAATTTAATATCTTTGAGCATGTTTACTGAGCCTCACCTCTTCCATTTTATGCACAGCACGTTGGCTGTAGGCTTCTCTCACAATTACAGTAATTTATTATGCAATATCTGTAGCAGATGCTGAGCTTGATTCTATTGTTGTCTGCCTTTTGGTTGGTTTTTTTTTTTTTTTTTTTTAATTTTTAGCTATTGGAGCATAGGTTTTGTCTGCTCAATCCTTGTTTCCACCCCATGCCTGTAACTGTGATATCTCCTGCATAATACCACCTGTCCTGAAAGAGAGGGTTGTGGCTGCTAAATTCAAGTTGATGCTCTTTTCTTACCTGTGGCAAAATTTTCTACTTCTTTTCTTGCTACTGAATCAAAAACTCTGACTTCTTTGATGTAGTCTTGTTGGGACAGGAGCTCTGTGATCTTTTCCCCAATAAAACCACATCCTCCTGTCACCAGGTAGACCTGGGCTCCATCCATTTCTGAGGACGTTTTTGTGGTTAAAGGAGCAGAGAGATCCTATAGTGCACTGTTGATCTCTGAGCCAATATGTTTTCTGATCTAAGTCTAAAGTCTAACCTTCACAGTGTTGGTGTTGTTGGCTGAACATTAACTCCATCCAGTTATGCGTAAGTCAGGTTTTTGCTGGCACAGCCACATTGGTGCTACATGCTGTTCTGGTCTTTCTGACTCAGCCTTTCCCTTCCACTCACTGGTGTAGGATCAGTGAGGCACCTCCAGCTTGTCTTGGTCCTTGGCCCATCTCAGCCCACAGTTGCCATGCTGAGTGTTTTTCATGGTCAGTTGGTGTAGGTTGGACCTCTGTGCAAAGAGTGCACGTTCTGGAGTGTGTTCAGGGCATCCCTCATTTAGTATGAAGCTACTAAAAAGCTCTTGCTGACATGCACTAATGAATTTGTATAGGCAGTGAAATAGCAGCAGATCTACCCAGTGCTGTGTAGAACTGCACACAATGCAGGCAGGTTCAAGAATGGGCATTTGTAATGTCCATGATGGCTTTGCTGAATTAATTCTGCTTGGAATTGGAATACACAGAGACACACACACACACACATTTAGGAGGAGAAAGTCCACTTAATTTGAAAAATGTGTAGTAGCAAAAGCTGTACCACATCCTCTGGCAAATTGTTGCAGTAATTAATCACTGTCATTGTTAAGAACGGGCTGTTGTGTTTTATTCAATGGACAGTGGCTAATACACCTTCTCCTCGCTGAACTATGGACATATGTTATCTAGTTTGTCATGTGGATAAAAAATGGGATTGAAGGGTTAAGACAGTTTATTCAAAGGCTATCAGTATTTTGCTTGTGTGTGTTTTGGGGATCAGCTCCTGCTAGAAGTGCAGGCTGTTAACTCTGCCATTGATTTTCCTTGTGCTGTGTTAAGCATTGGGAAAAGAACCATTTCCCCCATGATTACAGTCCCTGGCCATAATGGCCCAGAGACCAGCACAGACCTGAAGCTAATTGGTACTTGGCAGACCAATGCAGCCACAAACGTCCCAAGAAATTAGTTTGGCCTTTTATCCAGCAACTCCCAATCCGTACACTAGTGATTAACAGCCCTGCCTTCCCTCAGGGGACTTGTGCAAGGATAAATATATCAGAGTTGGAGATCTTTGAACACAAAAACAAGATAAATACACCCTGAAGGACCCAGAGCAGTGCTGCATGGGAATGTTTGGCAACAAGTTACCTTGAGCCTCTCCTGATCAGCACTGCAAAAAAATCTGCGTGAAGTTGAGGCCTTGACTCTGTGGACGTTTCTCGTTGTTTACAGTACTTTGCTACAGTAGTGATAGCTGCGTATCTACGGTGTGATATGAGCAGTGGGAAGAGCACTGGCTGTGATTTACACATCTCTTGTTTGTATTAGGGAGCAAAAACAAGTTCAGAAACCAGACGTGTCACCTATGACAGAAGCACTTGGGGTCCTTTGCCACCTCCTCCCATGCCTGGCTGTGGAGGCTTCCTTGCAATGCAGGATGTGCAAACTTTATGTTGCTTGAAGGCTTACCAAGGCTCCCTTCCCTTCTTTTCTTCCTTCTTTCTTTCCTTCCTTTCTTCCCTACCCAGATTTGCATACATACAGTGAGAGAAAGCTGAGATGGCAGGAAAGAAAAACAGATGCCTTAATTTCAGGATGCATTCTGCTTGAACTTGCTCTGAACTTTGTAAATGCAGGACACCTGACATCATACTCATTTACAGTATGTTTATTTCTCAGTGCATTACATGAAAGGTCTTTGGTATTTGTGGGTTCTTGAATACTGTTCCCACTCTGCTCTGTAAGAAAATGCTGAATACAAAACATTCCATATACAGTAACAAAACCCATAGCAAATAAAGAGAAATAGGTATCTTGAACAATAACATAGCAATATGAAAACAGGTAAGTAACCATGCAAGAGGTGGAACAAACAGGTTGTGTTTACAACAAACATTAGAGCCTGCCATAAATTAACTCATCGTGTCAGAAGAGATTATTTATTTGTGTTCTAAGTTTAGAAACTACACGACTGCAAAATACTGCCTATGGCTGCCCTATTAAAGACCAAATGTTGTATAGCTTATTACAATGGGACCATTTGCACACATACAAAACACACTGATATAAATAAAAAGATACTGCGTAAAATAAGTAGTGAAAAAGTTAACATTTCCTTCTATGGGTGGGAATGTGCACTGTGGACAGTTATAGCACCTTTGAATTGCCTGGTTTCAAAGCAATAATGGAAACTGCAAGTAGTTTAACCCCTATATCACCAAGCACGGAATGTAATCTCGAGTAAAGCAGAAGCTGTAAACATGAAAGAGAAAGAATTTCCAATATACTGTATTAAGAAGTAATTCCAGAAGCTGATTGTCTTTTGGAAGCCTTTGTCACAGTGGTCGGGTTCATTACATTAAAACAGTTCATTGAAGAGACTGGGATTGAAAGTGAATCCCAGAGCCAAACTTTCAGGAAGCCATGTGCACCAGTTCTTGTGAGCTGGCAACTTGGATCTGCTTGTTATGGCCTGTCCCTGTTCCTATGGAAGGTGTTGGGAAAATTACTGTGGAGTGTGGTGGGAGCAGATGAGGGTTCTTCTCTCTGGTTTATTCTTATTTCCCCAGGTTGCTATCAACTCTTTACAGTAAGTGCAAATTGGATACTCTGGAGAGAAGCATTCTCCACCTCCCAGGTGTACCAGATTGCTGGTGAACGTCAGGGTGCACAAGTTGCAACGATTTTCAGTTGTGCAATGTGCTTCTGGTTAGCTCACAGCAAGGAGAATGCATTTCTACCACCAGAACTGATCCAAGTTAGAAACACACTGGCGTTCAAAGAAACATGAAGAATTTCAAAGAAGTCTTAGGAAAAAAAGGAAAAGAACACACTATGGTATTGCACAGTATGCATGTAAGATAAAGCACTAAACATTTCAATTAAAATATATTTCTAAATGAGCACGCATCCAAATAAATCCACTCTCTAAGTTACACAGACATGGCAAGATGCGTAGATGCCCAGGCTAAATGAATCTTAGTATCCTGCCTAAGATGGGAAACGTGGTTGGAGTGGTTGGCTTAGTCATGAATGCCATTAATTGCTGAGTGTGAGGCTGTGTTCACCTTCACAGCATATTTAAACTGGGACTCTACAAGAGCATGGTCCAACCATTGCGTAAGTGGTGAGGAACGAAACTCCAGGTGAGAGGCAAAGTCCAGTTGGTTTAATCCCACTATAACCAAATTAAAGATACAGTACCACGTGAAAGAGAGATACAGGAACAAAGCAAGAAGTGTGGAGAGCAAAAGCTGACATAGCTCTTAAATCAATTTAGAAAAGGCAATAATTAAAACTGTTGCAACCCAAACCTAACCAATCTTATGACTGTTGGCTTGGCAGGATTAATTGGAAACAACTTCAATTACATTTCCTTTCATCTTACCATTAATTTGTTTTAAATAATTTCTTCATTTAAAATCTGAAATCCTAGTCAGTATGAATGAAGAAAGTACTCATTAAGCTAATGCAATAGCTTGGAATTCATAAGGGCAAACTCGGAGGAAAAAACATTTCTCTTTCAATTCAATGTGAAAGCTCCAAAATGCCAGGGAAATGAAAATGCACCCATTGTTCTTTTGCTCCAGATTCAACCCTGAAGTCAGAGGACCAGTGAAATGAATTTTAATGTTTCACCTTTTCAATATTGCTTGGTTAATTCCTGAATCTGAAACCTTAATACAGCCAGTACCTCTAGCTTGCACCAGTCTGATCAGCATACATGTTTAGCTTGGTCTGTGATTTCTCCTCAGCTATTTATGTAGCTGTACAGCAGTAGAAGCTTCTCCATGTGGACAGTTTTCTCTGTTACTTGTTAAGCATCAACTTATGCTATTTTGCCCATTTTGAGAAGGATGGTTGGATTTCTAGGGAACGGGGCCAAACGAACCCATTTGGCAAACCCAGTTATTCTAAAGTAGCCTTTATCCTGTTCATTTCTGAAAATACAATGCCCTTCAGAGGTAACGTTTGGGTGTTATGATGTCTCTGTGTGTTTACAATATATGCAAAAGGTCAATTTAATGCGTGGTCAATGGGCTGGCAAAACTCCTTCATTTTAAGGTTCATTTCCAGTATAGAATGTTTGTGTTTTTACCTTAGAAAGGTCACTTTGGATGATGAGGATTCCTGAATGCATGGACCATACATACATACGTTGGTTTCTACAAAAGCTTTTGACAAAAAGTAGTTGTAGCACTACTGCTTGCCTCTTTCAGATAGCTATATACCTTGCACTAGGAAGCAGACAGAATGCAACAAATGTTTGTGACTGATGTGTTAAGATGACAAACACAATTTGCTCACTTTTGTTCTGGTCTAAAGGTAAAAATTTGACAGAAGAGTGATAAATGTATATACATATACACCTAAGTAAAAACAGTACCATTGGTTGTGTCGATCAGTCTTACCATTTCTAACAAAATTCAACATCTACGTGAATGGCTTGTCTAATTGGATTTGCACAGAAGGTGTAAGAGATTCATTGGTCACTGAAGGGCAGGTTCAGCCTCTTCACCTTGAATGCTGGGACTTTTGTCAAAAAGTTATTGCAAATAATAGAATGATTTTGTATTTAGCTTCTGAGTGCAGGATAACCTCCTGTCAAGACTAATCCCAGAGTGTGATTTGCTGTTACACTGTCTGGGGATTCAAGTAGCAAAGATTCTCCCATAGAATAAAAAAACCCATGGTAATGCTTTCCCTTATTGATGTTTCTTAACTCTACATTTTCTGATAATAGTTATTGGTGTTACCAAATTTTCTCTGTATGTATGTGCAAAATGAACACAGCATGGTAAAACTCCATTGCATCTGCTCTAAATTTTCACAGAAACAGTCAGATCTCATTGAAGTCAGTGGACACTATCAACATTTTCATCAAAAGTCCTTTCACTAATACAATTAATGCCATTCACATGCGATCTGCAACATGTAGATTTTGATGCTGAATTCTGAACAGTAATCAGAATTTTCAGATGAACAGTTTAAAACGTTCCTGGAATTTTCCAATTTGTTCTTTGCTTTAGAGAAATCCTTGCAGATAAGAATGCTTTAAAGGCTTATGAAAGTGTTACCTTCAACTGAGAGTCAGCTTGACACCACTGCATGAAACAAAAGCAGATGCCACCAACTACACTGAAGGACAAGGTTAAGGTTTGGCTTTGAGCCTAGTTGGGATTGATTATGTCAGCCAGTTAAGCAGGGCTTTACCGAGTGACTTTCAAGGGCTGTGGGGAACAAGGGAATGATTAAACTCTGGAGACATATTCAGGAGGTGTCATTGCTATGGACAGCTTCCAAGGGTACATGACATCTGGTATTCCAAAGGCAAAATAACAAATCAAGAAAAGTGTCCATACGACCCTCTCCAAGCTCTGGGTAAGGTACTCCCTGCAATAAGGGCATAGCATTGGCCAGGTAAGCAAATCTAACTGCCAATACTAGAGCTTCCCACTCACTTCATTTGCACTCTGTAATTAAGCACTGGGATACTGTATCTTTAACTGGGACGAGCAGGGAGAAGACAGAGATGCTCCTACTTCATCCGACTGCTTCTCCTTTTGGCTTCACTGTCATCCAGCAGTGAAGAGAGGATCTGGTAGGCTTGAGGCTGCTGAGGTCCCCCACGCTTGATCTTGATGCTGCTTCGCAGAGGAGAACCCGGGATCACGTCTTGTCCAGAGCCTGGCTCAATGGAAGATAAAGAGTCTGTAAGGAGAGAAAGTCACGGGAAAGCACTATTTAAAAGGGGAGGCTAAGGAAAGACTGAATGGGCCTTTCTGAATTCCTCTTCTGGAAGAAGTGTCGTCCCTCCTGCTGTCTTTCTGTCCACCACGAAGTCATGTTTGCTGCCATCATATTACTCCAATATTTAGCCCTGTCTGAACTTTGGAGTAAATACTAGTACTGCAAGCAACACAGCAGCTCTTGTTCCTATTTGTCACCTCATTTATAAAAACACTGCTCTGTTATTGATCACAATTTGCCTTGGGCTGCAATGGCTACTCAGCATTGCCCACAGACTCCTGTTACTGAAGGACAAAGCATTAGCAAGGAGTCACACAGAAGTGATGTTCCTGGGGATAGAGGTACCATTTCACTCCTTGTGAAGGTGGACATCTTTTCTGAAAGGAGTTAATGAAAAGCTTGATTCACCCTAGGCTACAGCCACATTAGCCATGAAGCTGGGAATAAATATTAGCTGTCTGTTCTCCCAGCATGCTTCATGTTAACACACACGTCCTCTTCCTACAGCATCCTGCTTTACAGAGCTAGATGTGCTTTGACTACGGCCACTATTCAATTTTCCCAGCAGTCAGCAGCAGATGCTGCCAATGCAATGCTGCCTCATCACTTGGAATGCCTTGCTTTCATCCTTTTACCTTCCGAGAGGGATGTTTGTTTGCTCATTTCCCTGCCAAGTGTTCAACCTCACACAACAGACCCCCAGCCTTGGTTCATTCACTTGAGGCAGCACTTCTATGCCAAGGGAGCAATTGACTTCAGGATTTGTGCCGTGTTCGCTGCAAGCACGAGCTGCCAAACAGTTTGGGCTTTCCTGTGTCCTGCTGGGCTGCTCTCCACTGTGTGCTGGGCCAGATAATCTCCCACTGCCCCCCCACTGCAGAGAAGAGGTTTGTTTGCTGGTATGTTTTGCCTTGTTGCTTGGGTGGCTGTGGTTTTGAAACCATGAAGTTTCCTGGGAAAATGAGAGCATGCGATTGGCATTTCTGCGTGGGTCTCTGAACTGGATAGAATTGAGCTACCCAGGAACCTGGGGTAAGATTTGTGACACTTCCACTGGGAAAACTACCAGATGGTTGGTGCTGGGTGACTTAGAGCTGCATGGTGCCCTTCACTGCAAGGGAGGTCTGTGCTCAAGGAAGCCCTGCTTTGTTGCATTATGTCTTTCTCCATTTTTTTCTTTTTCTTTTTAAAGCATATTCACGAACAGAGATGAACATAATAGCATAAGGAAAACACGCTTCACTTTCTAAGTTCTTTTTCTAAGTAGTATTTTTGTAGAGTCTAAGTATGTCTTAATGGAACTGTTTCAAAAAAACAGAATGAAAATATAATTCTCTGTTACTGGATAAAAAGGGAAATATTTATATGAAGTCATGCAACATAGGTGTTTAAACATAGTTTTTAAATGCTGTGCAATTAAAAATCATCTACTTTTGCTGATGTAGTTACATTGGTATAGAGTATAACAGATACAAATAACTCATGTCCCTCCCAGGCAATAGCAGAAAACACGTTTATGACAGTAAAAATGGCTTGCTAAAATGCTGCTGAAATGCTAAACAGAGAACATGTAAAACTGAGAAACCAGGCAGTTCTGCAGTGGCAAATTTTGTGTGTATTCTCTAGTTCATGCTCCATTGTCTATACAAGTTTGTAGAGCTGATTTTTTTGCTTTACAGTAAAAGCGGAGATGCAAAGTAAAAGATCATGGAGGATCAGACCCCATGTCCTGTATCTGTGACATTCACTGGGCTGTAGTTACAGACAGGATTCCTCCCAGAAGACCAGGCAGGTAGGCATGGATTGCTACGTAAGGAGCCTAATGGGGATCTTCCTGGCACTGTCACCAGGTTAAAGCAAACAAGCATAAAAATATCTCTTGTTGGTCTATAAAATCCCGTGAAAACATGAAGCAAACTAAGATTAATGCAGAGGTAAGGTCAGGATGACTGCAGCTAAAATCATGGGTTCGTGATTCATGATTTCCCAAAGCTCGTGCTGCTGCCTGTTGCTTTTGGAATTAGTGCTTTGAGCCTCTAAAAGGTACATCTCCATTGAACAGTGAGGATGGTGTAGAGACCCAAGCCTGTTCAGCCATACAGTGGAGCACTACACACCAACACTATTTTGGCTTTGAAGTGCCCAACAGCATTTTCATTTTAGCAGACTGCTGGCTGCAGGAGTGGTTTGCGGGCTTTCAAAGCCTATTGCACTACTGCTTTAAGTCATCTGGAACTTCTAGATAGTTAAACTAAGCATTTGCCATATAAATATCCAAAAGTCACTTCAGAATAGAAGTGGATGTTGATCTGAGGGAAGGTGTGGTAGCAGCTCCATTTAAAAGCAGGGCCAAGAATGAAGTTCCATGGCCAAGCAAGGCCATGTAAGGTTCCTAATTGATCTAGTTAAGAAATATTCAGCTCAGTGTCATGGACCAGCCTTGTGTCTCACAGCCTGAGATAGTAGATTCAACCAGTATTTTGCTTCTGCTGTGTTTCAGTTGGGAAGAAATTGGCACAGCAACTTTTGGCAGCTCTGAGAGAATTGATCCTCAAATACCACCAAGGGAGAAGTCTGATCTGTGATGACTACACAACCCCACAATCTGGTTAAGGGAAGAAAGCAGTCATAAAGGGATGATGCCACACATTGCACCCATGATGGGAGAGCAAACAGCCTCAATAGAAAATATAAATTCTATTTAGAGGAACACGTGAGACTTTCTTTAAATCTGATTGTGAAAATAGGTTTGGTGTCAGTTGTAATAATGAGAACTTCATGGATCATTCATTTTTTTGGGTAACATTGGCAGAGACTTAGAACACTGGGAGGACATCTAATCATCAGGCAGCTTCCTGAACAGAGACCCAGTTGTATAGAAAAGAAAACTTCAGCGAGGCTTACCATGAATTCCTATCATGTGCTCTAGAATCAAGACCCTCTCAGCTAAAATCTTCAGAGCTTCTCGAAGTTGTTGAACACCTTCCCCCTGCAAGACAGAAAAGCAAACCAACAGTGCTAAATATTTGCAAAACAGGCTTCTTGTACATAATGTTGGCTTGGTAATGCCAAACTGTGCAGTGTAAATATTTAACAAGAGAAGTCATAAAAACATGAGATAAGCTGCAAGAGTAAAGTTGGAATGCAGGAGAAATCTCTAAAGAAAATCTCCTCGGTTATACCCTACATTTGCAGAGCCTCTGACTAAGCCAAACCTTTCACTTTGGTTCCTGCTTCTACAGTGAGCCAAACCCAGGGAGTATATTCCTGTCAAAATATGTTATGTTATGCAGCTTATGTTAATAACTGTACTGTACTACCTGGAGAACAGGTTTTGCTCTTGCCTGACGTTTACTCTGAACGCCATTGAGTTTCTTGGACTTTCTCTTCATTGGGACACCAGAAAAGCGAGAGGGTTGGCAAGCCTCATCTTGCTTCTGCCTTATAAAATAAACTGAAACAGTGGCACATGTGCTCATCCTGATGGACTTGAGCCAGCAGTGTGTGCTTGGAGGCCAACAGTACTGTGGGCTGTATCAAAAGAGGAGTGGCCAGCAGGGAGAGGGAGGTGGTTGTCCCTCTCTACTCTGCCCTCATGAGGCCCCAGCTGGAATACTGCATCCAGGTCTGGGACCCCCATCATAGGAAAAACGGGGAGCTTCTGAAAAGGGTCCAGAGGATGGCCACAAAGATGATCAGAGGGCTGGAGCACCTCTCCTGTGAAGATGGGCTGAAGGAGCTGGGCTTGTTCAATTCAGGGAAGAGAAGGCTGCAGGGTGACTTCATTACAGCCTTCCAGTATTTAAATGCAGATTATAAACAGGAGGGTAGTCAACTTTTTACATGGATAGGTAGTGACAGAACAAGGAGGGATGGTTTTAAACTAGAGGGAAGAGTTAGATTAGATGCTGGGGAGACGTTTTTCACTGAGAGGGTAGTGAGGTGCTGGCACAGGCTGCCCAGATTGGTTTTGAATGCCCCAACCCTAGAGGTGATTAAGGCCAGGTTGGATGGGGCCCTGGGATCTGATCCAGTACTTGATCTTGTGGCTGGCAACACTGCCTGCAGCAGGGGGGCTGGAACTTGATGATCCTTAAGCTCCCTTCCAACCCAAGCCATTCTCTGAGTCTATGACTTCGTTCTGCCTCTCACCAAGCTCTGAGGCTGGCCACAGGTAGTCTTTTCTTACCTTGTAGCAGCTTTGTGTGGGAGAATAACATCTGGGGGCTGAGGAGGTGTTCAGCATGCAGGAGGGCAGCTGACAACATGGCCAACAGACCACTAAGACCTGGCTTTCTAGCATGCAGTATGTTGTATACCAAGATTCATCTCTTCTGCTGCCCTTTTAACTGCTGACAGGAGCCTTGCCCCTCACAAACCGAAAGGAATATGATTAGAAGACAGTAAAGAGTTACAAAGTAAAGCAAAAACAAAACAAAACAAAACCACAGTAAAAACCCATGCTTACATCAGCACCTTTATCACCTTCCTCGCCCTTCTTGCCTGGTTCACCCTAAAACAAACAAGAAAGAGAAATTTGTCTCCATATGACCGAGGATCCTGCCCAGAATCACTTCCCTCCAATGGACCACAGTAAAGATGACTCCTGAGCTCTGCCCTAGCTCCCAGCAGCTTCCCAAGAGGTCACTGCTATTTCTCACATTGATAAACTTGGCTGGGGGTGGCCAAGCTGCACGAGGGGCTGGCTGCCATGGCCTGGACCTACAACAGATCTCAATGAACAATGTCTTAGTCCACAGCGTTGAGAAAGAAATGCTGTTCTCCTCCCCCAAACATGCAATTGTGCATCTTTGATTTACACCATAAAATTCCTCCTTTCTTCTTTCATTAATTACTCATATCATTTTCTGCCTCTGAAGATGCTCATTAAGCTTTCTGTGAGCAAAATCCCTACGTGCTGTGAACACTGGTCTGATGTTCCCCCTAACCTAAGTTCGTGCATTTCCTGAAGAACAGAAGACACAAAGAGATTAAGCCACAAGCTTAAGACAAAGCCTAACAAATGGCTGAATGAAATAGGGTGGAAATGCCTGGACTCTTCAGACTCACTGGACATCCCTGACATACTTGCAAAGCAGAGAGCGAGGATGGGATGAAGGGCTGAAGAAAAGATTGTAGGAGCTGTACAGTATGATGAGATGGAATTAAGGAAGGGTGAAGAGAAACTTCCCAGAGGAACCAGGATCTCTCTGAATGCTGCCAGTCAAGACACCCAACTTGTTCCACTCACTTTCAGCCAAACTTCAACTCTGTTTGCACTCTAGCCATACGTGCCTATGCAGACATCGCCTGAGTGCACTGGTTCAGCTACTGCCAAAAAATCATTTGGCCAAGTCTCTTAATCTCATTAAAGGTTTTCCAGCTCAGCTTGGCAGATCAAGGTGCAAGAGGACACCGAGAGCAGCTGATGTACCTTGGGTTAACAGTGCCCTTTGAGCTCTGGTAGTGCCAGGAACCTCACAGGGCAGGGAAGAGGTTCTGTCTGCCAGACTTTGGCTAGAGGGGATCTGCAAATACTGCACATCTCCTCCATTGGCATGTTGCCTTCCTGATCACTGCTCTCCACCTCTGACCTGTTAACAGGACTTTGTCAGCAGTCCTTTCCTGCAGTGTACTTTATGCCATTGACTGCCCTGTTGACAAAAGACCATTAGCAGAAGATGGCTGGTAAGGCTGCAGACATAGATGCTACCTTGCTTTGCACTGTGCAGTTAGGGCTTCCCATTAGGCAAACACTATCAACAGAACAACTGAACTTAGAGCAAGTAACCTCCTCTCCTAAAAAAAATCAATGGGAATCTGGCTGCTCTGTGATACTTCTGGCTCTAGAAGGAAGACTCACAGCTGCAAGACACCAACTCCATTCCTTGAGCCACCCAAGGTGGAGAAAGCCTATGGGATCACTCTGACACACTCCACATTTCAGTGCTATGTTTCGCATTCCATTTGCAGAGGAATACTTAAGGTAAGGACTCTCGTTGAGCAAATCTCTGAGCTGGAGTCAGTTGACCTGAGCATTGTATCTGAGAGCTGGCTGAACCAGCTGCAGACCAGCTCGGTGTTTTTATGGTACCAGGCAGGTACCAAACCCAACTGAGTCTCGTACACACCCGCAAGTACATCACTTACAGGAAATCCCTTAATGCCCCTCTCTCCAGTCAGACCTGCTTGCCCCTGTGGGAAATAAAGTAAGTGTCATTAGGAGACGTTTTTCCATTTGACAAGAACACAGTGTCATTTTTTACTAGTGGAATTAAGATGGCTTAATGAAAAACCTTACACTTGGGATAATAAGAAGAAATTCCTTTCCCTTGACATTATCACTTAGAGACAGCAAAAGGGGGTCATGGTTTTCTGTCAAGCATCAGCTCCAAATCCCATCACACTTCAGGGACACTCAGTTAAATACTGAGCTACTCCACTCGGTACCCTCTCCATAAGATGATTACCAATTTCTTGAACTTTACAGCAGTCAGTTATATTATAGCAGGAAGGAATTTGGCTGGAGATTCGTTTCTCACAAAGACAGAGCATTCTTCTCTCTAGTAAAACAGACAGGCTGATGCTGCCCCAGACAGCAAACAGAGCCCAGGACTCCCACAGAGCACTGATTTAATCTGCCTCCTGCTCCACACACACGTCCCCGCGTTAACTCCAGCAGCTACTGATCAAACCCACACACAGTATTTTGGTTGATTTGTTTCTTTTTCCTGCTGTGCTGATTTTCACATTGTTCTCTGTGCTTTCTTTCTTTCTTTTTGGCTAAACTAAAACATTTTGGAACCGTATGTGTTGGTGGAATGAAACGCCATCAAATTCAACATCTTTTTAGTCCCTGTTTTCCTCTGCAGCTCTGGTTGCCCACCCCAGAACATGCTGGAGCAGAGCACAATCCCTAACTAGGAGAAAAGCTATAGATTATTTCATGAGAGAGCAGGGGCAGGGCAAAGGGAGGCAAAATTTAAAAGCATCTTAAGAAATCTATTGATGAAACAGCCACACACTGAAACAGGCTCTTTTCCCTAAACATAAACAGAAACAAACCCATCCTTTTGTTCCTCAAAAATCATCTAGCTGGCGGCAGCTTTTTGTAGCATTTGCCAAAAAGGGAGAGCTGCTTTGTTACTCTGTCCATCCCACTGCTGCTTTGTAGAACACAAATGGGCCTAGGGCATCTCAAAACATTACTGTGGAGACCTGTGCAATGCACAGCCAGACAGCATCAGACAAAGGCCCACACTGACACAGAGAGCGCCAGGAGGAAGCCCAGTTTGTCAGGTGCTCTGAGCATCTTCAAAGGGAAATGCTTGGATTCTGCACTGGAAGGAGCAAGGGATGTGAAAAAAGCACAGGCAAGCAGCAAACCACAGAGAGGAGACATAACAACACACTAGAAATACATAAACAGACTGTTCTCGGTGTCCAGGGGGAACAGAAAAGGATGTTATCAGCTTAAAGGGGATCAAAGGATATTTAGGTTGGATGTTAGAAATATCTTTTATCCCAGGCCCTCAAGAGCTGTACCTCTGCAGACTGCCTGCGGATGATGTGACGCATCCCTCGCTGGCACTCGTTAAGAATTAGATGAACAGAGACTGATCATGAGTGGCACACACAAATGTGCCATCGAGGGGATGTGCTCAGACTGCTTCAGGTCTCTTTCTACATCTGTTCTTTCGGAGATTAAGCAGGAAGAATGTATAATAACATTTTCTCATACCTCAACAGATATTGTCAACCCTCCTCTGCTTTTCTTTGCAGCTGCACAGCTCCTCCGCTCCGTGTAAAGCCAGCCCTAATTTGTATCCACCAAACCCCAAATTGCAGCATGTAGTTGTCAAAACCAGCATTCAAATCCACACTCACAAAAGACAAAAAGCTCACAGAACGTCCTACAGAAATTCTGCCAGAAAAAGCGATCAGCTCTGCTTTCCATGCTAAGAAAGAAAGGGCAGGAAACAGCATTTTTCTATTTAGGAAAGCATTGTGTATTTGAAAATCTCATTTGTCCCAAACCTAGAAGGAGAGGTACAGCTCTGAATATATACGAGGAAGGAATGAGATCAGAGTCTCAAGCATTTGTACTGAACATGGACAGCTTTTGTTTCAGAGGAAGTGCAGAAACACTCTTAGCAATATGACCAGCCACAAACTAAAGCACCGTGTTCAGGGAATCATTGAGGAAGAGCTCTTACCAGTTTCCTGGATGGAAATTAGACACCTTGTTAAATGGCACGCGTCCTTCTTTTCTTTTTAAACTGGAAGTTAGCATTTAATGGCAACAAGCTGTAGTGGCTAGCCTGTACTGAAATTACAGTTACGGTTTCACTCTTTATTAGAACTTTAGGCTCAGAAATGCATTAGAGTCTAATCTATTAGTAAAGCCAATAAATGCCCAAAGTGGGTGACCTGCATAAGATGCTCTCTTTCAGGTGGTTTCTTATGTAAGAATGGGGACCAAGAACCCATAAAATGGGCAAAGATGCTCAAATAAATACGAGTTTTTTGAAAGCATATCTACTCCAACTCTCAGATATCCCCTTCTCTTTCATGTGAAGTCCCTCAGGAGAACATGAAACAACCCACCTGGGCCTTGCACAGCCTGGACAGAGGAACATAAGTATTTCACTAGTTATTCTCATGAATTCAAAAAGTCACCAAATAGGAGTTAACCAATTTGTATTTGCCTTTTTTAGCACCTTTGGTCACCCCTCTGTTTTTTTGGAGTACTGAGCAGAAAAAAAGGAGAAAAGGAGATGCACGTCATCTACAGCTACCTACCTGCAGGCAGTGACCTCCAACGTGATGGTAAAAGTGGCACTTGGAAGAGAATTTGTTCCCCACAGCTGCAGCACAAGAGCATGCCTATACAGCCACCACTGCAGATATCTTTTTCTTTTTTTCCTAACACGTGCCAGCCAACATTTTTCTTCTCTCTTTCTTTAATTCTTTGACCTTTCCACAGTAGGCTCTCAGTAACATTCCACTGTCCATCTGCACCCACTTCCACATTTTGCAGATCTAACTGCTCAATGCTTGCACCATGTACTAAGATCTCTGGTGATTTTGTGTCCCTACTGCTTCTCAGAAGCAATTTCAAAGACCGTGGCCTTTTGGAGAGTAAGCTTCACAGAAACAGCTGTAGGCCAAACTGCCATCTGAAACCCTTCCTTAAATGCTGGTGTGGGGATCTGACATGGATATATCCTTGTTAAGATTTTTCTCTGTTCGTTCCTAAATTTCATCTGTGTGCAAATAATATTCCAACAGCCCTTCTTGCTACAGTTATTATCATTTGACATAACCCATTGAGGACTGAGGTATAGCAAACTTTCTAAATAAATTAAGAGCATCACTTGACCTGGGGAACAACTTTGGTTCAGGAGAAGTCTGATGAGCTTTTACTGCATTACCATCACAGATGGAAGTCATCAGAACATCTAAAACAGTCCACACTAAAGAGCTTTGGTTGGCAGAAGAAGGCTGGCCTCTGCCAGGTTTAACATTCCAAGTATTTATTACCTCTATCTCCTTAGGGAACACCAGACACTATGTAAGTTATTCAGTCTTTTATCTGTATGGGAAACCTTCATCTTGTTGGTTAGTTTTGGGTTTTTTTTTGCAAAAGACTTAGAAATTCTACATTTAAAATTGGTCATGGCTGCAGTCCCACAGAATCTGAAAGAGCTGCATAAATTTCTAAGGCATTCACCCAGATCTCGCTGGGAATCCCTCCACATACGTAAAACCTTACCCTCTCTCCTCGGTCTCCTTTGGAGCCTTTGGGCCCAGGTTGTCCTGGAGAGCCTGGTAAGCCCTAGAAGAGATGCATGACAAGAAGAATTCAGTTTCTATTGCACATCCATTATGAAGATATAGCCAATACATTTCCCAGTGATCCTCAGCTTCTGTAAACCCCATATATGCATTAAGTGGCTAGGCTGGATTCTTGTTTGCCCTCAAGCAATAACAATGGAAGCTCTTTTTGCAGATACCTTAAGCCCTATATTTTCTACATATCCCTCTTTTTAGTTCTCTTAATGAACTGCATGCTGCTGATATAACATTTTGTGAAGGGTCAATGTGACAGGATAGTTCTTGTTCTCAGTGACTGAGAAGAAATTAACAAATAGATGGTATGGTTAGCCTAAAAATCCCCACTGCTTTCCCCCCTCTTCATAATTGCCTCAGTGGGTAGCATGAGTAACCATACATACCTGAAAATTAATTGGATTGTGTAGTGGAAATTATTTTGAAGCGATTCACTCACCCTAATAAACAATTTTCAAATTAAGCCCAATCTCTACTAATAATTTTGCTCCCTGGGTTGAGTAAATCTATAAAGCAAATCACCAATGGTTATGAAGGGTGTTGTCTCCAGACTTCTACTAATTGAACTGCTCTGCAGAAATTGATCCAAATTCTTAAATTACCCACCCAGTGAAGCCACAGTGAGAAAGCAGGCAGGAAGAGAACACCACTGTTTGTTTCTATTTACCATGTCAGCTCCACATGACCGTATGCAAGATGCTTTTTTCCACCTGAAGTAACTTGAACTTGAAGTCCTTGGAGACTGCAGCACAAGGAACCCCAGCTCCACTTCAGGCAGCTGCTGCTTCACGCTGACTTGTTTAACAGCAGGCCCCACTACCCACCACCTCTCAGCATCCAGTGAAATGGGCTTTCTAGCACAGCTGCCAGGAACCTCAGCCTGTAGTTAAGTGGCCCAACAAGGTCAGGCCTTAGTGTTTCAAGGGACAGTGGGAGGAACGCTCTCCCAGTTTCAGGATTTTGAAGGACTAATGGAGAAGCACTCTCTCAGCTTCATCTGGGAGGCAGCCCTGCTCACCATTATCACGTTGCTCCGTGCCTGCAGTCAGTCCAACCAGCTCACCACCAACTTGTGCAAGATGGCAGCTTAGCTACACCACCTCTGTATCCACAAAAGATGCAGAGATTCAAGCGTGATAGAGGAGGTTAACCAGGGCTGGCAAGCAAGGTAGGGCACAGACCAGATTTGGCCTTATGTCAAAAAGCAGCGTGAACAAAGCTCAAGTGTCCATAGGTGACCTCTGCACCTGACAGCTCTGTACATTCGACTTCAGTGCGTGTTTGCAGAGGGATGCTCAAGGAACACTGAATTAAACAAGTCTCTTGTTAAAAATAAAAAATTTATAATGCCTACTGCATGTGAAAAAGCCAGACTCTATTAAAGAACCTATTTATGAATTGTGAATTACCTTATATTTAATCACGTTAAACTGCAACTGTCGTTTGGCTGCCAAACTTCCCACTGTGTTCATATCTATCTGGAGTTTCTCACCGCTCTCCAGAGCATTCACTAATTGAAATGATTCTGCTACACTGGCAAAATTTCACTAACTTGCTCTCATTGCTTCTTCAAAGTGATTAATAAATACATAGTAGAAGTCTCCTTTCTCTAATTTCCAGCAATCCCAAACCTGTCATATCAGGATCTAAGTCACATCCGTTGTCTAAATTACTTAAACTTTCTCTCTCTTCTGTACTCCTCAGTTACTTTTATCTCTTTAATTCAAGTAAGATACCTAATATAGAAATATTTGTTGTCACTGGTTTGCCTCTACAGTAGGAAACATTCATCCCAAACTGGAGTCCTGTTTTATCAGCCAACCACCATCTGCAGCAGTTTGGCCACTCATTATTCATCATAACCTTCATTTTTTCAACTTCTTTTTTCATCCATGTGGCTATTTTGCCCTTCCACCATAAAACATTCTTTTGACTGAGTTTACAATTCCCCATAATTATCCTCCCCTCCACAATTTTGGTATCAATATCTAATGAATCAAACTGATTAGAATTTGTGAAGTTTCCTGAATGGAAAGTGCTATTTCCAATAAATTAGGATGAAGAAATTCACCTTGGTGAACTGGTGAATTCTCAATGACACATTTTTCCTCTTTTATGTGTTCCACAGGAAATGCAGTGTTTTTCTATCACAATGTTAGTAAAGCCCACGTCAAATCCTTTGCATCAACTCAGGCTACGGTGAAATGTTTTGACACAGTAGCAGCAAGATATGTTGTTATGATTGAGGGAAAACCTGGAAAGTAGAACCATTTCAACTTCTTAACCCAGTTCATATAAAATAGTTCTCCTCTTTCTGAAATAAGAAGATGCTCCACACCTACCCCCCAACTCTGCCCCTCAGCCCAAAGCAGGAAAACCCTTACTTGTGATCCAGGGACTCCGATAGGTCCTGGAGGCCCTTTGGGTCCCGATGCACCCGGTGGTCCTGGTGGGAATCATCAGTTGAGACAATGTTAAGGAGACTTAGAAGGCTCTTAAATTTCAAACATACGCGTTTCCTTTTATTGTTCTACTTCATCTCCAGTGGGTGAGAGCCATTCATTGATCACAAGACTGCAGCATAAGTACTACATCATGCACTGGATTCTTGGACACCCATATCCTAATATCACACGTGCCTTAGGGAAGCTCTTAGAGCTCGGGGAGGAAAAAAAAGGTGAAAATAGGCAGGAAGGATGACAGCAAGGTGCTGCAAAATAACAGCTCTGAAGAAATCTTAAGCTAGATCCATGAAACATCAGAGCAGACTGCTGTTTTAGAAATGGAGGAAGTCCTGCAGGTGGCCAGGGAAGTCTGCAAGTCTGCATGAGTCAGTCTCTGGTGCTGATGAACACAAAGGAGACAGAGGTTGGACGTAGCCAGAACGAGAAGCCAACTGTGGCAAAGCAAAGCACTCTTTTGTTCTTTGCACGCTCGCTTCAGTAGCAAAAAAGTTCTTTTTAAGTCTGTATCACAGAAGAGGCCATTTCCAGGACATGTTAAACACTGCCTGAACAGGTCAAATTGTTTTACAGTCACAGAACAAATTCATTACTTTTGGAAAGATAATTATATCCCAACTGCAGCTGTTAAATTGTACCTGGAAATGAGAGACAGGATATTTGCTTAGTCTGAATTTAGTAATACTCCTCTCTGCTTTGGTTGTCAAAACCCTTGAGATGAAACAACGCAGACACCATGTACAAAGTACAGCTGAATTAGCCTCAATCATTAATGCACCATACAAATGCTTAAGTCGGAGAATAAAGGAACTGAAGGATAAATTAAAGGCCCTCATAATGAAAGGAAAAGTTTTCTGCAACTGATGTGAGTTCGCTCCTAAATATGTATCATACTGGGACATGCTGATGTTTGCAGGAATATTATCATTTAATCCACCTATCAGCACTGAGAAACAAAAGATTTGCTACTGAATTTTGGTCCCAGATTCTGATGTCAGTTATATAGGTGCAAATCTGGAGTAGCTCAAACCATCTCCAAAGTGTGCAGAGATATCACTGAGAACAGCTGGTCAGATCCTGCTCAGTAGTGCTCTACAGCAACCAGACAGGATTGCACCAGCAGTGAGAACAGCTCTGCTCCCACAGAGGAATTCAAAGGGCAACCCACTCTTAAAGGCACTCTTCAATTATTCCCTTCTCAGAGTATGTCCTCTCAAAGCAGCAAAGAAACATTAGAAGTCTCAAGAAAAATCTGCCTCTATAAACAGATAAGAACTAGTTACTTAGAATCATAGCATCATAGAATCATAGAATCACCAAGGTTGGAAAAGACCTAAAAGATCACCCAGTCCAACCGTTCACCTATTCCCAATAGCTCCCACTAAACCATGTCCCTCAACACAACATCCAGCCTTTCCTTGAACACCCCCAGGGATGGTGACTCCACCACCTCCCTGGGCAGTCCATTCCTGTGCCTGACCACCCTTTCTGAAAAGTAATTCTTCCTCATGTCCAGCCTGAATCTCCCCTGCCGTAGCTTGAAGCCATTCCCCCTGGTCCTATCACTGATGACACGAGAGAAGAGGCCGACCCCCAGCTCACTACTGCCTCCCTTCAGGAAGTTATAGAGAGCAGTGAGGTCTCCCCTGAGCCTCCTCTTCTCCAGGCTGAACATTCCCAGCTCCTTCAGCCTCTCCTCATATGGCCTGTGTTCCAGACTTCTTGCCATCCTACCCACTACCCATGGCTGAACAGCCCTTCCACTGAGGACCACGTGCTTTCCCCGCAGGCATCCCACAGCACACTTCCTCTCCTTGCTCCTTTGCTCCTCTTCCCTATCACTACAGCTTTGCAGCTCAACTGAGTGCATTACCTGGGGGTCCCACAGGGCCCGGTGCTCCCCGTGGTCCTGGCAGGCCAGCCATGATGGTATCTATGACGGTGGAAGCCAACTGGGGTTCTCCATCTGTGTTAAAAAGCAGAACAGTCAGTGCCCCTGCAGCAAGAGCCGCCCAGTCCCAGGACTTTCTCTCCAAAACCCTCTGGCGCCTGTTGCTGGTGAAGGGCAGGCAGAGCTTCTGGATGCAAGATCTGGACTCCAGGAGCAATCCAAGAGCATAGGCTGTATCCCCCAGATCTCATCCCATCTCTTCTAAGCCCTGAAGAATCGTCCTTTCTGTCCAAAAACTGGTGTTCCTGCACACCCATATTGTATTACCTTTGGAATGCTGAAGCAGTTTAAAAGTAGCTCTGCACTGTACAGCAATAATTATTTTAGCTTGTGCAGGTCTGGGGAACGGGTGGAGATGGGAGCAGAGCAGGGAGAGGGAAGCCATTAGCAGAAACTGGAGTAATGTTGTGCTTTTGCACATCTTTCTTAGTCGTCTCCTGTTGGGAGTAAAGCTCGTCACTCTGTAGCTGTCACATCTTTGAACCACTGGGCTTTCGGTTGTAAACTGAAGAGAAAAAAAAACAACTACATATGAAAGAAAAGCACCTCTTTTTCTTGCAAAACCACCATCAACCAGTCTGTTCCCCACAGACCTACATTGCAGCATGCCAGCAGTCCGTGGGGTACATGTACAGCAGCATCTTTCACCCTGAGCATCCCACAGCACTGCTTGACAGTGTGGAAACCAAGGCATGAAAATTCCACAACTGGCAAAGACACCAATTACACAAAGCAAGGAAGGGAACCCCCAGGTCTTGATGCTATGAAGATTCACAATCCATTCCCCTGGCCAGCGCTATAGAGCCAACAGCAGGTTTCCTGATTATGCCTGGAGATCTTGACTCTCTGTCAACCCTCTGAGAAGTCCACATTTTCCACATTTGGAGGCCACCAGAATGAAGAATGCCCATCTCTTTCTTCCTGCCCACGGTCTCAAACACCCTTTCACCCATCCCTTTAACTCATTATGCTGAAATTCTGGAGAACTTTTTGCAGGTGTAAAACTCTGCAGGTGGCTCAGTGCTCTACTGATGACAACATCAAATAATACCAGGAACATGGGAGGGATGTTTGTTTTCTCAGCCACAACAACATGCAGTGGAATCTCCAGGAACATTATCAGACACATCACGAAGCCTTTTCAAACTCTGGAGCACTGGCAACAACAGAGAAAATGTTCAATGTCCTTGTTTGAAAGCATCTCCAAGGGAAATTGTGAAATCTTTTTAACTGCCAGGGACGACAGTATATGTCTTCAATGCCCTCCTGGCAGCAGAGCAGCATGAGATCTAACCCAGGTCCCTCTGAGAACTAAATTTCGAGCCTAAAACTTGAATGTGAACAGGTATTTCTTAGACTATTGTTTCCAGACCCATCCATCTTCCCTTCTTTACAAAACAGCTGAGACTGTTTTTTTGTTCAGAAGGGAAGGTACCCAAGTGAAGTGTGTAATCCAATTAATTTGAGTTTTATTTGACCATGTCAAAATCCATCATGGTTCGGGAGTAAGATGAGATTGGGAAACGAGCATCGAAGAGCAATTGCAGAGCCTTTGTTTTTAAAGAACAAGTGGCCAACAAAATGAAATGTGTATCCACTGAGAGGAGGAGAGGATAGGCTACAAATGAACTGAGTTTTAATTACTGCTGGAGGTACACCAGGAACAAGCATTCGGGTTACAAAACATTCCTGCTAAGTGGTACGTTATTACAATGATGGAGTTACACCCCACAAATCCACCCACCCTGACATTAGATCCACTGGACTCAAAGTTATTTATGAAAGGCAATTTGGTAACTGCGACACAGAAGAGAGCAGTGTCTCAGTTCTAACACTGAGCTGATTCTACACCACATACCTGATGCATGCTTTTGTAAGTGGCAGAGAAGGAAAGCAGTGCTGCAGCAGCGGCCCCAGCAGAGGGGCAGGGCAGTCTGGCTTCTGGCTTGTATCTCATGTTTCTGACTAAGGGATAAATTCCCCCTTTATAAGCTTGATTTGTTGAGACAGGATGGAAATGAAGTAATCCTGTCCTAATTTCTTTCTGCTACCTGATCTGCAGGGAGACAACTGGGACCAATTTCTTTACCACCGCACTGTGAAACTGTGAGAAAACGTCTCCCCATTTTTGGCTTCTGCCTACTGATAAACACTGCCAACAAGAACTTATTGTGATTAATAAAGGCACATGCATTAACCACGTTCAGGCGGAACCAAACACTGCAGTATTAATAATAATCCAATACAGCTTTCTCACATCTCTGTGGGTGCACATGCCCATTACCAGGAATATGCTTCCCTCTGCTGTCAGCAGCTGGAATCTTGTGTTTATAGTTTTCAGATGTGCTCCATTAAAAAGAAAAAAAGAAAAGAAAAAAAAAGAAAAGGAAAGGAAAGGAAAACCTATGCAGGATTTGCAAGGCTAAGCTTTATTGGCTGTTGAGGATCAGCTTTCCACCAACCTGTGGTAGGCAAAATCAGCCAGCACGTAAGGAAAACATTAATTTTGTAAGAAACTGGTCTCAAAATTGCATAACTTTACCATGACCAGGCAGATGACTTATACTGGCAGATCAGTATTGAGATTTTTTTCTCTTAAACAACAGAACTTGTTACAGATTTTGGGCTCACATACCCAATGTCAGTACACCAACAAAACCAGCTTGTTCCACATAGTCTTTGCTGTACACATCCATAAGAAATTTCATCTCCACAGAACACTACAGAGCCCTGCCTATGCCCTGGGAGGAATTGGATGAACAATGTGCCCCCAGCAGACAGCCCTGCTGCACCCTTCTAACTCCTGCAATTCAGTGAGAGGGCAATATACAGGAGTTGGCAGTGCCTGGCTCACTCAACCACCACCGAAAGCTAA